TGGTTAAGCAAAGGCAGAGATCCAGAGATGGCCCCTTCCTGTTCCAACATGACTGCGCACATGAGCACAAAGCAAGAAGGTCCATAAAGACATGGATGGGGGAGTTTGGGGGGAGGAACTTGACTGGCCGCCACAGAGTCCTGACCTCAACCCCATAGAACACCTTTGGGATGAATTAGAGCGGAGACTGCGAGCCCGGCCTTCTCCTCCAACATCAGTACCTGACATCCCCATAGACACGCTCCTAAACCTTGTGGACACCTTCCCAGAAGAGGCGGAGCTGTTATAGCGGCAAAGGGCGGAGCCAACCGAATACTGAACCCTCCGGACTAAGACTGGGATGCCATTAAAGTTCATGTGCGTGTAAAGGCGTCCCGATACTTTTGGTAATATAGTGTAAGTGGGAGAGCTTTAGCGGATAAAGATATGGATGTTATTATGTGTCTTTTCCAAATATTTGTATTGGAATAAAAAGGGTCGGAATACATACAAACAACAAGGTATATAGGGTAAGAGGATACATTATAGTAAGCAAGAAATAATATCAATAAAACTGTTTTGGGGATCATTTTTATTTTAGCTGATGGTCCCAATGAAGCCTTCTAGTGATCTGAAGACACAGCCATAAGCATTGCCATTATCACCTGAAACGGGCTGTAAAGTGCCATCAACACACACTACAGAGGAACCCATGTAGACATAAACACAGGTCGGTACACATCAGTGTTTTAACAATCAATAAAAGTAAGCAGATAACAACAACATAAACGTGAGACTCGGCACGTCAAGAAGATTTATCAGTTAGGCATTCCTCATGCTTCACTCTGCGGTTTCTCATGGAGACTGCTGACTCCACTGCTCCTGAGACTCAAGGTGACTTACAAAGAGAGAGGCCCCCGGGGACTGAAATTGTTCAGGTTTCGGGTTCACTATAAAGGTTTTAGAACCTTAGAGCCATCAACAAAGTATACAAAATTGTTTGAACACAACTGTCCATCAGATTGGGTTTTATAGAAATCAAATATTAATGCCAAAGGGATTGTTAGAAAAAAAATTGAAACAGGAATATGGAAACTTTTTATGTTAGAGGAAAATGTGTTGAATGATGCAACTCTACTGTGATATTGGAGGCTTATGAGCCAAAACTTTGCACTTGTTTTTGGTGTGACACAGTAATAAATCTTTTACTTTTAGAAATGTTTCCCTCCTGGAAAAACCAGTTTAATGGTCAGGCCGAGGTCTTCACTGAGCCGTCGTAGCAGGTGGAATTCTCCTCTAACCTGTTAGATACCACTGCAGGCTACAGAACATAGAAGTGTAAGGTAGTATGTCGGGTCACAAAGACCAACGACCCCCCGGGCTACAGAAAGCTTTCTCTTGAGCCAAAAGTTGAGGAGCACATTGTAACTGCAGACAATGTTATCAGGGAATCATTAAGTATGTCATAAAGATCATTTCCTGATTGTGGAGGGAATTTCCAATGAGTGCAAGGGACAAGCTAATCTCAGTTCAGTTCTTGAACAGTTTTGGGAACCTTGCTTAAAGTTCAAATTACGCAAACTTTGTGTGCAAAACTGT